TGATATTCAGATTATATAGTGGTATTCAGATTATATGGTGATATTCAGATTATATAGTGGTATTCAGATTATATAGTAGTGATATAATCTAGGGTAAGTGGAATACCACCATGTGATATAATTATATCACATGGTGGTATTCCACTTATTATATATTGATAAAATTTATATAAGTTGATAAAATAACAAATAACTTTTTTTTTAAATAAAGTTTAATACTATTTTAAACATTTAATTAACCTTTAACTAATATAATAATACTAAGAATATTTGTCTATCTCTTTAAAATTATATGATTAATTTTAGTAAAATTTTAATAAGTGTTTAATATAGTTTCATTATAGTTACTTTAGTTTTATCATTTATTATAATAGTTTTAGTTTTTTAGCATTTTGTCATAATTTTACTAAGATATTAATATAGTTTCAGAAAACTTTCAGAATTTTGGCAGTTTCAACAAGTAAAAAGAACCCTCTAATTCCTCCAATATCCTTAAATAATATATCATTTAATATTTGTAAAATAGTATTTACTAATATCTGCTTGATAAATAAGATTTTATTATAATAAAAAATTATGTAATATTGAGTTTTAGAAAGAGAAGATTAAAAAAAATAACATCATTTTAATCATAATATTTATAGTTGATTTATGTTGAATGAATTTATAGTAGATATATAAAAACTGAAAAATTATATAGCAATCATATCTATTAATAGATAGATTTACTTGTAATAATAATTTAATTAAAAATTGGTTAATTTGTCATTAGTATTTTATTAATTTTATAAATTTATAAATTTAAAAACAAATTAGTAAAATTTATCAATATTGTAAATTTGAAATAATCAGTAAAATTTATTAATTTTATAAATTTGAAAACAATCAAAAAAGTTTTATTTTTAAAACAAAATAATAAAAACCAATTGGTAAATTTGGATTGAATAGTAAATTAATAATTATTTGATAATTAAAATAGATTGAATATTATTGAATATATAGTTTTAAATTTCTAAAAAATTATATAATTGGGTTGAAAACCGATTAATATTATCTATCAATCAGTATTAACAAATTAATATCCGATTTTATTTTCGTGTTACAATAACTTATCTTAAGATTAAAAGTTGACCGGAAATCGCAGAGAGAGAATAATCTGTTCCGTCAACAGTTAAAGATTTAATAGGTGCGTTCTTTTCGTTCTTTTCAAATGATAAAAATCGTTCTAGTGCTAAATTGTGGGTTATATAACGAGGGCCTATTATGATTGTTGCTGCTTCAACTATCTCGAGCTATATCAGCCCACTTAAAATAGATACAATGGGAGCAGTGAATAAAATTCAAGTCAAATGTTTATTGCGCAATGTGCAAGACAAAATCACATGCAATTTGCGGAAAATGAAATCCAATTTGCGCATGGATATGTTAATATTTTATTTAATAATAAAACTTTAAACTGAAAGTTTTGCAATGCACAAATTAAAATCACAAATAATTTGCGGAAATCAAAAGTAAGTTGCGCTCCGCAAATTCCGCAAATAGATTTTATACACTGAATGGGAGTCTCTCTTAGTCAAAGAGTAGCGACATATGTTTCGAGTACGGATTGTATTATTTATTAAACTGATTAACTACGATGCCCAAGTCCAGGTATCTCTTTTAAGGAGATTAGTTCCGTTGTTTTTATTTGAACTAAAATAAAAGAAATACCATTCAACGCACCCCCAAAAAGAGTTTATTATAAATAACATACATATTTCTTCTGAATTTCGTAATAAAAGAATATGATGATTTATGTAGAGAAAAAATAAAGGTTACTGTTAATTCCTTAAAGTGTAAGAAAATTATGATTATAAATTGCGTAGCAAAATAGTGAGAGAAAATGATATAAAGAAAATAACATTCTTATAATTAAGAAAAAATTGTACGGAAAAGGAAATCCGATTCATCAAAGTAAAAACAAGAGAGAGATTCAGAAAGAAAAAGAATAAATGCGTTTCTTTTTTAAAAAAGAAATGCATACAGGGGGACATTCAAGTCCTCGTAATTTATTAAGAATCAAAATTCAAGCATATATATCAAATATATTATACAACTATCAGATAATTTTGTCTTACATCATATAATATCGAGATATTTACCAATGCATATTTTGTTGAAATTGTGCCATATATCTATTAACATGTTCCAAATTAGTGCTTTGTAATATTAAGGAATTGAACCATCTCTCGAGAGATTTAGCTGTACTATCCATATCAGTATTGATGTACTGACGATACAATTGTTTACAGTACTCTTTTCTTTCATGAATATTAAATGGGAATATTTTACTGATTTTACATCTGCCAACGGCTTTACTCATTTTAAACGGAGTAAAATGCTCGAATGATCCATATACAGCTTGAGCTGTCATCAGGTCATGTAAAGGTTCAGCCAACAATTCCACAAATTGTTCATCATCAGAATCATTAAGATTCTTTCTTGGCTGAGAAAAGCGGATATCATATGAAGTGAAATTCGAAAGTGATGGCATAGATGGATGATCAAGTCTCCTGGATGGTGGAACTCTAAACATAGTTTTTTGAAGCTTTCTTTGTTGTTCTATCTCTTTCCACTTTATTTTTACTATTTCAATTGCACGTTCTTTTCTTTCTTGCAATTCTCGTTTTCTTTGTTCTGATCGTTTTTCATCATCAGAACTATCATGATGCTGTTTTATTCGTTTTTCTTGTGAATTCTCTCCTTCATCATTTTTTCTTTTGCTTGTGAAAGCTTTCTTATAACCTTTTAATCCTTTCATTTCGCCTAGAATGTAAATAATTTAAATTACAAACAATAATGATATAACAATCATTATCTCAATAGATCATTTTTATATATATTAAAAATGTAAAGTATAAAAGGAAACCGATCCCCTAAGCATAGTTTTTAACCTGTATCATTCAATTGTTCAATCATTTCAATAGCCTTTCTCGCAAGCAATTCGACCTGCTTAAATCTTTTTGATTTCTCCATGTAGAGATCATCTAAATAAAAATTATTATTACAAATTTATAAAAATTAGAAGTTTGTGACTTAATAAAGATACCTCTCGTTTTTAGCTTTAAGCAAAGCATCAAATCAGAAATAAGAGGTTGGGGATCATGTAAGTTTGAAATCATTCGTTTATCTTCTCCATAAATCTCAAGATAAATTCGAGCAAAATCGACTATGATGTCAAATAACTCAACAATGGAATTATGATTTTCCAATATATACAAAAAAATCCTAACCGGGTTAACATTTTGGAAGAATGAAGGGATTTCCTTATTTGACATTGAAGCATAACCATCAAGAAGACTTTTCTTGTTAGTATAAGCTTTATTTTCACGAGTGAATGTTGATGTAACATTTGATAGAGGATCAATATTAACATATTGATTATTATCGTTAACAAGAACATTACTTCGATTTACGCTATCATTTGAAGTTTGAGTTTGATCTACTATAATAGATGCGGAATCTTCCAAATTTTTATTAATATCATCAACAGTTGCTTTTTCTTTACCTTTCGCTTTTCTAGACACAACGGGACTTCTAGTTTCAGTATCTGATTCAGAATCTGATACAACTATGATCTCCCTATCAACCACGGGTTGATTAGTCTCTATTGTTTGGGGAACAAAGCTAGGAATACTCTTTTTTTTAGAGTTTTCCGTACTATGAACTGACCCATTTACCCTGGTTTCAGTTAGAGAACTAATAACCGTTGGTTGACTGGGATGTTGTGAAAAAAGAAACGGAATTGCACAAAAAATACCTATACGAGGCTGAATATACGACATTTTCAACCTCCTTTCAACTGTTAATAGTTTAAAATTATATAAAGATATTTGAGACTTTTTTTTCTGAAATAAAAGTTTCGTTTCACGTTTAAGCGAGTAAATCAGATCATCAATATATAGAAATCCAAAAAGGGTCAGCTCACGTGAGCTTGTAGATTATCTATGTTTGAAAGGTGAAACGTGATAAAAAAAATAATAATAATAAATGATAAAAAAAAAACTTGATACGAGAAAAAATGGTTTCGAATGAAGGTTCAGAAGAAACTGGCGAAGAATTGAGGTTACCAACGACTGCAGCACTTGAAAAGGTTTTACAAATTCTCGAATTCAATAGTCCTTTAAATCTTACGCCAATAACAAATTTCATTCGACAAGAAGTTGTATCTAGAATATCATTTTTCGAAAATAAAATCTCCAAAATATGGATATTCAAAATGTTTGTTCAACTGGGGATTCCGCAAGTCTATTTATTTGCGGCCATAATCATCTTTTCAGGAATGATGGTTAGGAGCATGTATAAGAAATCTGTTTATCTTTTATGTAATTTAGTTGGTGTGGTATATCCTGCGTATAAATCAATTCAAGCTATTGATCTTTCAACAAATGATAATGAGAAAGGGGAAGTTTCAACAACTATAGCTTTTAAAGAACAAAAGCAATGGCTAACTTATTGGGTAGTGTATGGATGGTTACAGGTCGCCGATAATTGGTCAAATTGGTTGTTAGAGACGTTTCCAGGATACAATTTGTTTAAATTGATATTTCTATATTGGGCACAAAATGGTCGTTCAAGAGGTGCCACCTTAATATTTGAAAAATTATTAAGACCTTTACTAAAGAAACCACTTATTAATAATATCCATAATACCGCCTCCACAAGTCAAAAACAACGACAGAAACAGCAAACCATTCAACAACCTATCATTTCAAGAAGAGTTGTTGAAGGAACACCTTCGTCTAGTGTCTCATTTAGACCCGAACCACCACCTGAGGAGATATGGAAGATGGAAACCGTTGCAACGTCACGTGATAATGATGTTAAACCATATCGTCTGAGTAGCGTATCATAGATTTATGTACTAATATACAATTCATTTTAAGACAAATAAATTCTACTGCATATCATTAATATGTTCTTATTAATATAATTAATTTTCGATATCCATTTTATTATAATTATCGTGCAAATACAAAATAATTAATTGCAATTGTTAAAAATAAAACTTTTTTGGTAATATCTCCATTAAGATTCCATGATTTCTCGAAGACGACGAACAGTTGAACGTACTGTAGCGGCCGTGGTGGTTCTATTTTGAAATAAATAGGAAATGTGAGGGTTAAATTTGTTTTCAATGAATAAAATCAAAAGAATTAAAAAAGATTTATGATGACTTACGAAACGGTCCATGCACCGCCTGCTAATACTTTTTTACATGCACGACAATGCCAGATACCTACGGCTTTTCTCTTGACGGTATCCTAATTTAAATAAGTTTAATCGGTCATTTCTAGAGACAATTAAAAGAGCAAGATCTAATTTTCCTTTTTTTCTTTTTTTCTGTTTTTCTTTTTTTTTAAAAAAAAAATGAATTTTCATCACGTACCTTGCCACAAAAATTACAAGTATATTTTGAATGTTGTGTAATTTCCATCTTTTTGATTTGTTTCCTCAATGAGGCACCATAACGGGTACCATATTTACCGACAATTCCAACCTATTTGTAAATGAAATCAAAAAAAAAATCAAGTAGGTATTTTTCCTTAATAATTAAAAATGATTTATTAAAATTAACCTTCTTTGTTCGTTTGGCCTATATTAAAGTTCAAAAATGATTCAGTATTGTTATCCAAAGAAAGGTGAACATTACGAATTTATCGATAAAACTTACCATTTAGATAGATGCGAAAAGTTGGATAGAAAGAAATCCGAAATTCGCTATTTAATTTATTAAATTGATTACACAAGATTCAACCAATAGAATTTATGTAGATCGTTCTATGTAGATATGACGGTCTACGAAAAAGTTGGTCTCTTACAAAAAAGAGTAGTTCTTAAATAATTTCGTCATTGGGCTTCCAAAAGTTTTAATAAAACATATACTATAAAAAATACTGTAAGTCGTTTTTTTGCTCATTTTCGAGTCCTTTTTGATTTAAATAGAAAGTTCTATACCAATAGACACGTATTCTTATTTGCCTCCAACATTTAGGTCTTGATCTTTTGCCTGGAACAAATTTTACGGTGGTTCTCACTATTGCACGTGCTTATTATCACCCTTTCACAACCACGTAATACAACAACGTTTCCATTTAACTGTGAAGTTTATTCGTCGCGTACTGATACATTTGTTATACATTCTTAATTTCTGATAGTCCTTTAAAATTTGTAGTCATAACGCTTACAACAAAAACCCTTATCCAAAAAAATGAGCTCACGTTCTCGCCAAAATACTATTGATAAGACTTCACGTTCCAATATAAATCGTATCGCCAACATCAATTTTAACAATAATAATAATAATAATAATAATAATAATGAAGAAGAACGTGGAGCAATAAAGCGTACTCGTTTAGATAATGCTACTTATACTCCAATGCAAAGTTCATCATCATCTGCTACTGCTGCCGCTGCTGCCGCGTCTAGTAGTTCTTCATATGATAATTTTATAGGAAAAACTTCGAAAAAATATGATCTTGTAAATCATGGTAAAGATTTGATTTTTCCTTCACACAAACCAATTCCCGATAGGCCAAATGATGCAGTGCGACAAGGACATCAAAAGCAACCAATCAAAAAATTAGTTATTAAAGGTCTAAAAGGTAAGATTGAGTTTGAATGTTATGAATTTTGAATCATTAGGACATTATGAAATTTTTAATAATTATTATTAATTTTAATAGATAAACCAAAGTTGCCAGCTAATTATGAAGAAGAGACATGGTCAAAGCTACGGGCAGCAGTTCAAGCTATCTTTAATTGTCAACGCATTGGTACTAGTCTTGAAGAACTTTATAAAGCTTGTGAGAATCTTTGTTTGCACAAAATGGCTTCTTCGCTTTATAATAGATTAGCTGGTGAGATCGAAGAACATTTAAAAGTGGAAAAAACCAAGCTTGTGAGGTAAGTCTTAATCATTAATTCCTTTAGATTTATTTTAGTTTAATGTATGATAACATATATTTATTTTTATTTTCAGTAATTTAAATGAGAATGATATCTTTCTTATAGTTGTAAATAAATGTTGGATGGCACATTGTGAACAAATGGTAAAATTTATAAGTTTAAATTGACCTTATTTTCAAATGTTATTATTCAACTGACCGAATGATTAATTTAGGGTCTAATCCGAAGTATATTTTTATATCTTGATCGAACTTATGTGCTTCAGACATCTGGGGTCATTTCAATATGGTTAGCATGTAAAGCCCGTACTAAATGCTTTACATCTTTAGATATTCTATCGTGGTATTGATTGTCATTATTCAATCAATTTAGGGATAAGGGACTTGAAATTTTCAAAAAACAAATTATGTCATCGTCAGCAGGTGATATAAAAAAGAAGACTATAAATGGTTTAATTGCATTTATCAGACGTGAAAGGTAATTTATATATATATGAAGGTTACTCTTACTCATATCAAATGCCAATCTTTATTCATTATTAACCTCTTTCTATATACAAATTTACATTTTATTTTTATCATAGAAACGGCGATGCCGTCGACCGTCATCTTTTGCGTTCCCTTATTCATATGTTTATTGACCTTGGCACTTATTGTCCTAGTTTTGAAAATCCATTTTTGTTGGAAACCCGTAATTATTATCATCATGAAGGATTGCGTCTTATAAATGAGTTCACCGTTCCAAGATATCTAAAACATGTAAAGAAACGTTTGAAGGAGGAAAGTGACCGAATTTCTCAATACTTGGATTGGAAAACGAAAAATCCACTAACGAAAGTGGTGGATGATGAATTAATAAAGAGACATGTCGATGCTCTTTTGGATAAAGGTTAGGATCGTGTTTCGAGCTATGATTTATAATATAAAAGCATTAAATTTTTTCTTTTGTAACTTAGGTTTCAATGACATGATGGAAGACCAACATGCAGATGAGCATATACAAGAATTAGGAAGATTATACGATCTTTTAGCTCGAGTCGGCGCTCTTGATCGTCTGCGTCTTTACTTTGGAAATTATATAAAGGTTAGGTTTGATCATATCGATTTATAAGAATAAATACAAACGAGACGTATTAAATCAATTGTTATGTTTACAGAAAACTGGTTCGGGAATAGTTAACAATATTTATCATGAGTCGACCATGGTTGAAGATTTACTTGCACTGAAGAAAAAAATGGATAGTATTGTCGCCATATCATTTGATGGAAATTATAACTTTGCACATACTGTAAAAGAGAGTTTTGAGGTGTTCATCAATCAACGTCAAAATAAACCTGCCGAACTTATTGGTAAAATCAAGTGATTTCCCCTTCTTGTTACTATATATTGGCATGTTTTAACACGTTACTTAACTATCTACTAGCTAAATACGTCGATTTGAAACTTAAACTTGGCAATAAGCGTATGGATGATTCAGAAATCGAAAAAACGTTGGATGAAGTGCTGGTTTTGTTCAGATATATTCAAGGTACTATGTTACTTTGTCATTTTATTCTATAGTTAATGATTTGAATTTTCACACAATTCTCTGTCTTCATTAACAGGGAAGGATATATTCGAAGCTTTTTATAAGCGTGATCTTGCTAAACGTCTTTTGCTTAACAAAAGTGCATCATTCGATTATGAGAAGAGCATGTTGTCTAAATTGAGAAAAGGTAAATTCAATTGATCTGTTTAATATATGTTAATTTGCTCATATGAATTCTTTTACGTTAATATTGGAATTTTTTTTTAAAAAAAAAAAGAATGTGGACCGGGATTCACGAGCAAACTAGAGGGCATGTTTAAAGATATTGATCTTTCTCGGGATTTTATGACTTCTTTTTACGTACGTTTATATACCATTCCTCTTGTAATATAAATTTTGGGCGCAAGGATAATATTAACATAATTATTGTTTTCAGCACTCGAGAATTTCAGAAAATCTAAGAACAAATATCAAAATTGATCTTTATGTTAATGTACTGACCCAAGGATTTTGGCCTACATATACACCAGCGCCCCTCATCCTGCCACCTGTTGTGAGTTATACGATACCTATCAAATAGTTTTATTATTTTTCTATTATATAAAACTCATTGAAACGTTTTTTTTTTAAAAAAAAGATGGCGGGATGTCAAGAAGTATTTAAAGAGTTTTATCTTAGCAAACATGGAGGGCGAAATTTAAAGTGGCAAAATTCTTTAGGCCATTGCATATTAGCAGCAGAATTTCAAAAAGTAAATAACAAATATTTTTTTTTAAAAAAATTAACTTAAATTCAAATCTGTTTATTCAACTATTTTTATAGGGTAATAAGGAATTGGTAGTGAGCTTATTTCAAGCAGTAGTGTTATTGCAGTTTAATGACTTGAGGCAAAAAGAAAGAATCTCATACGAGCATATTAAAGAACAAACGGGAATTGGTTTGTGATCTAGGAATTATTCGAATGATTAGGTTTCTATGAATGATTATTAATATGAATCTATTCTGTCATTTAGAGAAAAAAGAGCTTGATCGTACATTACAATCATTAGCTTGTGGTAAAGTTCGTGTCCTCAAAAAATATCCCAAGGGACGTGATGTGAACACCACTGATGAATTTACCGTGGACGAAACTTTCGATTTCAAATTTTTCCGTATTAAAGTCAATGCTATTCAAATGAAAGAAACGGTAAGTGAAAGAGTATTGTCAGAATTTTATACCTTACTTTACTCTAATTTTTATTTCAAACGTGGAATAGTTGGAAGAAAATCAAGAAACTAACGAGCGAGTCTTCTTGGATCGTCAATACCAAGTGGATGCTGCATTAGTCCGAATAATGAAAATGCGAAAGACACTTAGTCACAATGAGTTAATTTCAGAATTGTTGTCACAATTGAAGTTTAAAGCACAGGTAAATTTATTAAGTTTTAAACAATCAAATATATGATTTTAAAATTGCGAATTGAAATACCAAAATTATTTTTATTTTTATAATAGGTTTCAGATATTAAGAAACGTGTAGAATCTCTGATAGAGCGAGAATATTTAGAAAGAGATACTGAAGATTCATCAATACTTAGATATTTGGCTTAATTTTTATTTTAAAAAATTTTGGTCGATTATGTAATGTTACTTATTTTTATAAATGTACTTTTCCCAATAGTAAACTTTTCAAAAATTAGATATCAATTTTTTATTTTTTTAAATATCCAATAAAAACAATTAATATTGTTAAAATAAGATAATTTTTATAACGCGCCAGAGTAAAAAAAAATTGTTCAGTAAATGCATTTGATAAATTGATAAAATCAACGAGTTAAATTTAGAGTTCGGTAGATCTAAAAATTCTCTCCACGTGATTTATGTTTAAGGTGAAATTATATGAGATCACGTGGATGTAGATCCTGCGGCGAATAGATTATCTTTAAAATTTTTCTCGAAAAGCAATAAAAAAGAAATGATTTTGTAATTAAAAATTTTTTTTTTTTAAATCTATTAAAATTTTTTAATTAAATGTTTTAAAAAAAACTGAATAAAAAAAATGTTTTCGGTGGTTAAAAGATTCTCAATTTTCAATAGAAACACTTTATCATTATTTTCTCAACGCGTATCTTTTGTTGGAATTCGTTCTTTTTCAGACGATAGTACGATTTATAATGAAGAATTAGTGCAAAAAGAAGAGATTACACAAAAAGATAAACAAAAAGATGTAATAACTCCAGCATTATACGCTTTTGCAGCGCGTATGCATCTTGATTTTTCTGACCCAAAAATATTATTACAAATCGTCACGCACGAAAGTTTTACAGACACTAATTTACCATCAAACAAAAGTTTTAAAGACTTAGGTATATTTATCTTTAAAAATCGAATACTGGAAAGAAATTCAACAAATTAATATAAATTTATTTCAATTAGGGAATTCCGCGATACTGTTGTATCTTACAGAATATTTTCACATGAAGTACCCACTATTACATACAGATTATTTAAAAGATGTGTTGGAAGTTTATAGTGGGAGAAGTACGTTAGCAGCACTTGGTTACGAGATTGGATTAAATCATGTTGTGAGGTGGAACAAGGTTGGTTCGCAAATATTTATCCTCTGTATAATTTGTTATAATTTGCTTTCTTTCCATTGTTATCAAATTAAAATTCATTTAGTCGATAGAAGTATTTAGCACCACTGAAAATGAAGGAAAATCGGAATCTACGAATAAAAATGAATCCCCAACTGCGTATAAATCACGGAAAATTACTATTACGATAGGTCGTGCTGTGATAAATGCCGTAAAAGCTATTGTTGGCGCATTGTATTTGGACAAGGTAAGCTAACGGTGAAACAGTATACTCTTATACTTATAGAATTTTATCAATGAATGTTTATTCTTTTAATAGGGGCCAAATTCTGCAAAAACATTTGTTCACGATAACTTATTATCAAGAGAATTTGACATTCAAACATTATATGATATTAAAGAACCGAAGAGACATTTAACTGCGTTGATGAAGCGTTTAGAACGGGAACATCCTATATCTAGGCATTTATATATTCCTTATATTGTTATAGGTCCTTTATATTAAGTATTTAATGTAATATATTCATCTTCAACTTGATTATAGATTATTACATGAAGCCGGTCGTAAAACAAAAGAACCTATTTTCGTTATCGGTGCATATTCAGGCACCGAAAAATTAGCTGAGGGTTTTGGAAGTAGCATTAAAATGGCTGAACACAGAGTAATTAATTATTACCAATTATATTCATATAATTATTTTGTATAAATTTTATTTATTTATTTGATTTTTATTTCATCATTCATATAGGCGGCAAAGAATGCATTATTAAATTATTATTTTAAAGAAATTAAAGATTTTACGTTACCATCAACTATTGACACACATCAAAAACAAACGAGTTATATACCTACAAAAGTTGGTGATACGCCAGCAAAAATCTAATCGAGTAATTTGTTGTATCATGACTAAATTAAATTCAATTAGTCTTCAAGATCATTATATCTGTGTCTAAATTATAAATTTTAATGCCAAGAATACTTTAATTTCATCAAAATCTTTTTGGATAGTAATTGATAAATCCTTGTCTCGGGATTAGCTTTTTTATGGTCAGGTTGAAGCCCCTAATACTGAAAGTAGCTAATATTATGCTCCGCATTACACTCTCAATAAAAAGCCTTTCCGCAGGTTTCTATATGTATGTCTCGGAAAAAAAAACGGATGACAAATCATAGCTTAACCGTCACGTGACCTCATTTAAATTTTCAATGTAAAGGATGGGTTTTATCAAAAGCGTTGCCAAATTAGTAATCAGAAGGGTTCAACACCGAAGTCTAAATTCATAGATTCATAAGGAGAGAACAGAAAAGGTTTCTTTATGTTAGAAATATGTTAAATTTCGGTTAAGTTACTAGAATAAAAGTGATCAGAAAATATAATCTATTTATTTGTTTGTTATACTAAGAAATATGGTATGGTGTGTGTCAACTATAAACCACAAAAATATCATGTGACTTTAAAATTTTATAAGTTAGTAATTTTAAGTAATAAAATACATTTGAAACCGATAAAATAATAGAATAACATGAGTTGAACATTTTTATCGGTTTACTTTTAAAGATTTAAATTCGGAAGTTTAAGAATAAATCATATGATCCATATGGAAAAAAGAAAATTTCGGACTAGATCGTTTACATAAATTTCATATGAAAATCAAAAAATTGCGGCACACATTTTTTTATATATAAAAGATGTACTGAATTCTATCGTAAAACTTGGAACAAATAATCCCAACCTATTTTATTGTTAATTCAATGCTTTTGATTCAATAAAAATGTAACTCGCTTATACAAATTTTTTTATGCATCTATTGATATTAAGAGGAAACGAAATTCATCCCTGCTTAGTTCCGAATTCTATTGTGATTTTTCATTTTACACAAATAATGTCATATATAAATATTAAAGACCTGTAAATATGTTCCGTTTTTTACCTATTTTTCCAATTAATAAATAAATGTTTATCATTTCCCACACATTGATCAAATCGATAACAATGGCTCGTCCATCAAAGCGAAAAATAAAGGTTAAAAAGCAAGAACGGAACAATAATGGAACATTTACAAAGAAATCACGAATTGTTGATAATCGGAAAGAAGAAGATTATTGGGGAGATGAAGAAAACAGTGGTTGGGATGAAATTGATTTACCAAACGAAGATGAAAATAAAGTAAATTAGTCTGGTCAAGTAATGCATATCTAGAACAAAAGAAACGTGGACCTTACCTTACCGGAACAACCAAAAAATCAAATTTCGATAAATACAGACCAAGTGGTTCTTTCACAAAAGCTGCAAAAGGAACTTCAAACATTTTAACGCTTATAAATAAACAATCAAACCCGGATGATTTTGATGAAGTTGTGAATGATGTGGAAAATGAACACAATGATCAGCTTAATCTAAAGGAAAGGATTGAAAGTTTGAGAATCGAACTTAAAACAAAACAAAATTCATTAAGTGTATCTAAATTTAACAAAAAATGAGCAATCTTCGAATATTTGAAAAGATTAGATGATAATGAAGGAAATAAGACAAAGGCTAGTATAGAAGCTGCGCAATTGGTTTTCATTGATAATGCTCCATATAGAGCACGAACTATTCGTTATTAGACCAATTATTGGCTCCAATATAATCATCTTCCAATAAGTCGTCAAGGTAAGCATCAAAAGACAATGCAGCTAATAGATGATGAAAATATAGCGAAAGAGTATCATACTTGGATTCGATCACAAGGTGGAAAAATCACTCCACTAAAATTTAAAACATTTATTGAACAAAAGTTACTTGTTGATTCAGGAATAATGAAAAAAAACATCAGTACAAAAATCGCGACACGTTGGCTCAAGGTACTTGGGTATTTTTTCAGTCACAAAAACAAGGTAAGTTAATAAGTATTTTATAGAATGTTAAAAAACAGAATGTTAAAAAACGTTATAACATTACATATTTGTATAAGGCATATACTACAATGGTCATGAACATGCTGATGTCGTAGAATATCGACAAACTTTTCTGGACAAAATCTTTAGCTACGAAAAGAATATGGCGAAGTATGAAGGTGAAATTATGAAACAGATACCACCAATGTTGGAATCTAATGAAAAGGAAATAATTCTTGTAACACACGATGAGTGTATATTTTACTCGAACGACGGAAAATGGGTGTATGGACAAAGTTTGGAAAATTGCCATTACATAAGAAGGGAAATGATCATTTTAAGACCCTGAACTATACTAATAGAACTCATAAATATAGTACGAACACATAATTAAAATTATATTGTATGGTATAACTCGATCAATATTAATGCTAGAAAGATGGAATTAGTACCATTAGATTCTTCTCGGTTAGACGAATCCAATGGTATAAATGTCATTAAAATTGAATTACTGGTTATTGAGATAATGGGATATGTAGGATAAATAAATTTGTAAAAATAAGCAACTTTTGGTAAAGTTTACATATAAACTCTACGCAAACTCAAATGTGAGTTATATTAGTATAGTTTGGGATCCTACCTGCATTAGCAAACTTTTGTTCACAATTATAATATTTCTCAAAGTCAATAATAAATGTACAAGAGGTTTTACACGCCATAAAGTATTTTTTGTAAAAGGTATTTCTGCGTGATCTAGATGGAAGTATCTTAATATTCTACTTGCATCTTTTATTAAAATGTTTAGATATAAATCTTCACCAGCTACCTAAATTCCTACAATGCCAAATTTATTATTTGTCAGCCTACAGGTGATACAATAAAGCTTACTCCATCCAAGATCTCCCTTTATAATTTCACTGAATCACTTGTTTTTTTAGTATCAATGCAAATAACTTGCGAAGATTCAACATAAGCAAGCTTAAAGATTTTTCCTCCACATTTCGTCATTGTCATAACATCAGGCTTTTTTCTAATTCGAAATCTGGATAGTTGCGAAGCCTGTTCCTCATTTTTTCCAAAGCTTCTTTGTGTTTTATTTGCAATGCTTTGTTATTTTGCTGTACTCAAACAGATGTTACCATTTGGTAGAACCCCAAGCTGGCCTAAAGTAAAGGTATAATAATATCTGTGATATACGTTCCTTCACTTTGATGACTACATGATGGAAATATAAGTGATGGCAAATTCAAGAAAATACTTACAGGACACTTAATATATGATTTGTTCTTTCTATCAATTGAGGTACCCCTTCTTTTCATTCATTATTATGTATAATATTCCTGAGCATATCTGAAATATCAGTCTTATTAAAATTATTTACAAATTCGTTACATCTTAAAGCAACTGAGATAGGAAGAATATATTTTATATTCTCTTATAGTTATAAAAAACTTGCTTTTGCCTTTGCCCAAAATTTTTCACCAATATTGATTCATCAGAAATAACTATACTCGCCTCCCTCGCCTCCAGATTTTGTCACGTAAGATCTAAAAGGTCAATACTTGCTAAATTTTTTTTCGAGAGCACTATATAAAGATATATCTGTATCAGTCATTGGTGCTCTAAGTTTTGATTGTAACGCTCTTAAATTTCACCTAATTTCCTCTTTTGTATGATCAAGAGATGCTTCTTGTTCTGTTTTTAACCCTTTTACCACTTTTAATCTTAGGATACTTTTATATCCAATCTCAATCTACAGCAGATGGTATAAGTTAGGATCATGATTATGGTAGTTTAAAGTTTTTAATCCATATATTTGCATGTGCATATTCAATTCTTAATGTTTGTTTAAAAAACCATGTACAGTTAGGAAGGAGCAAAAACCCTTAACATTATGAGGAAAAAATCCTGATCACATTGCTTTTCCAGCCCTAATCTTTAGCAGTGGTATGACAAAAATCTCACGACATTTGCTGTAGTTTTATCAGTATACACAAATCATAATCCTTCTAAAAAAATAATTCACTAACCTGAAGTAGAACTTCTAAAACCTTTATTTTTTATTCGTAATTAGTTATTTTTGTCAAGAAAGTATTTACAATACATTCTGCTAACTCTCTAACATAATTGTATACTGATATACTCACTTCTTCCATCGATAAGTATATCACAATTGCAGAATATATAGCTTTGAAAGTACCTTCTAGAAAAAGCAGTTCTATTCTAGCTACTAAATTTGCTATAGTAAAAATTTGTTAGTAGTCCAATAAAATCACTAAATAAACAACGAATAGCTAAATATTTTGTATACTGCCCTTTTAAATGTTTTCACATATTTCAAATTCATAAATCTTCAGCTTGGGATTATGGGGTAAATACTTCAAAATCAAAATAAATAAATAACGTAAAAAGCTAAACAATGTATTTTTTATGCCAAATTTTTCACAAAGAAATAGCAAGCATTATTAGGTAATTAGTTATGACAATCAGCCTGTCATATAAATAATTTAGCCAATACTTATTAATCGAACTACGCTAAGAAAATAATATTATGACCGATTAGTTTGTAATAGTATTTATCAAGCCAAAAATTTGGAAGCATTAGATTATCCAATATGGACTGTGTAGATCTCTAGTGATTTACAGGGAATTAGCTAGAACTTTGCATGATATATATCATATCCAGAAACATGTGATCTAACTATTATTGACTCTGCCAATCACTTTGCCAAGTAAAAAAAATCGTAATTTTACTTTTGATTTCACCTGAAAATGAATATATCGAATTAGATGCTTAGCTTCAATATAAAATTAGAGTCTGATTTGATATGGTTGGTCATATGATTTCATAAAAAAAATATGTATTAAGATGTAACCCCTGAAATATTCTGTATAAAAAGTCCTTTAATAGGGACTGGTATCTTGTCATTCCTATCTGGAATATAAATAATAAGAAAGGTGTTGGATATAAAAAATCAATATTTGTCCTAAGAAAAAAAATCAAAGAGTGTATCTAAAAAATAGGCCTAAGGTAAAATATGATTATATAAATATATATTTCTTTTTTTAGGCAAGATGCATAATTATTAACGATCGCTTGAATAATATTTTTTCAGTAATGTCACATATTTTTTCTATAAAACATATTAAGTGATTTCTAAAAAAAAAGATATCTTTATCTTCATGTTTCAAAGGATCAGAGAAAAGGAAATAAGCAAATTAATTTGTGTTGCTTTTCTTATTATTCCTACTGGTACATTTTTTGGATATGATCAATATCAGGTAATTAGTATTAGTATTGAATAGATGCATCAGCACTAGTTACCGCATTAGAATCTCAGATCCAAAAATATCACTTGGATGAATAATTTAGAAATGCTTCTTTTTCTCTACACGTAATCAATTATGAAATAAGATATACAGGGATATGAAATTGGAGAATAAGATTAGCAATTATTTTATTAAAGATCCTTCTATGTTTAATAAGCATATTCACATTCTTGTGGTATCTGCTGTGAAAATAAGACATAAAATTTATAAGATATAAACAAGTAAAAAAAAAAGATTCTTTTATAGTTCTGATTATAAAAGAAATTCATATAATTAGAATTTCAGCCGAATCCTGCCAAAACAATAGCCAAGATTTTTTTTAGACAGATTATTTTTATTTATACAATAAATATATTTTTTCATATTTCTAGATATAAAATATAATAACTTTTTGTGGAGTTGCATGGAAAATACAGTCAGACCCAAAGACTGTCCTGAAAGACAATGACTGCTTCTATTCTTTAACTTTCTAACTATCGTCATTATTATTATTGCTACTGCTACTACTGTTACCAGAATCCCTCTTCCCTTTTCTATTAACCCATGTTTCAATTTTATCTAAGGAAGTAGTTTTTGGTGTTTTTTGATGGCAGCAGAAATTCGCTAAAGTCGCAGAGCTTAAATATATTTCTTGAGAAACTACTAGGAATATTAAACAGTCCTAAACAGTCCTAAAAGTCCCAATAAATTTGCCAGTTCTAGAGAAGATTTTTATTTTACTGGCATTATATTTTAGTTTTAATGACAATTTGTTAATTAAATATAAATTAAAAATATATATTAAACTTATGCGGGAATCCAGAATCTTAATTTTTGAAACTTAGGATCCAGTCTTAAAGACCAGGTCTCACCTTGGTGGTCCCATATTAATTGTCGATTCCAAAGTTCATATTTCTTTTATAAGTTATTCATAAAATTTATTATTACAATTATTTATTAAGGGTTACTTATTATAGATAAGCGATTAGATTTTTCTATAACTTATAACTTCAATATTTATTTACAATCATTTGGGACTGTTTAACATCCCTAGAAACTACATTATATAATTGTGTATAGGAGCATCCTTCCTCCTTCTTCTTTGATTAAATAAGGCTGTGAATTCTACCCATAAAGTTTGGACTTCATCGGGATATTCCAAATATTGGCTGGTAGATATACGACTTGTGAAAGACCATTTATTTGATTCAGCTAGAGAAAATAATAAAATATAAATTAGATCATAGGATTTTCTTAAGAAAACTGGATTGCAAAATGGTTAGATCCTAAAAAATCAAACACATAGACCTTACCTTGCGAAAGTATAATCAAAATAATGTTAGATTGAAAATTCTTTCTAATTTACCCAGCTATTTATAATTAATATTTCTTTCACTAGGGATCTGCAGTTGATCATTGCAAAATATAAAAGTCTCTGGATCTTTGCTGTATTAATATGCAGCCTCTAATCAATCAATAAAGTCAAAAATATTAGCATTCACCTTCGGTCAAGACCTTTTTTTCTTTCTTCGGTCATATTCATTCGAAATTTGCCAAGAAAAGAAAAAGGCAATCTCACGCAAATAGAGAGAGGGTCTGATTTATCATAATGAATTTGGAACACAAATAGCTCATCAAATAATAATTCAATTTAATGAAGATTAAACGTCTGGATTCAGCAGGTTCTGAATATTTACTAAATCAAATTTCATAAAACTCAGATCACTGGTTGCGTAGTTATTCAGAAAATCGTAAGGTCAATTATTTTAGACATAATCATGAAAGAATCTTGAAGAGACCACATTGCCAAAGTGGTGTGTGAAGTGTTGATGACCTAGCAATCTACAAAATACTAGTTTCCAGTTCTGGAAACCTAAAAGAGATGAGAAATTGATAGGTTGTTATGTAAGAATTCTTAGCTACCCAGTGAGTCTCAAAATGTATTATTAGAACTATATGAGAATTGAAATTTCAATCATCTACATAATATAATCCAGATGTTGTAAAAACCCCAAACCAATTCAATCAGATGCAGAACGTCGAATGCTTCAAATCAAGCTAAAGTTTGAAGAATTTAGATCACAGGAATCCGAAATAGCTTTGACAGTTGGGAAGTTTTACTATATCACATCATGAATTAGAAATCAATTAACAAATTGTAGATCGATTTTGCATAATATGAATACTGCGAAACTGTCATTCCCCTGATCCTTTGAAATGCAGGAGATAGCCTACCCTATTTGCTTAACTGCCCAGGATAGCTTTTCTTTTTTGGAATGAATTATAAGAAAAGGTAAAAAATAATAGCATAAAGAGATAAACCATGATTGGTTATGTGATCATATGTAGTATTAAAAATTTTTTATTTGCAAAATAACTGCTAATAGTACTGGACTACCCAATCATTTTTAATATAGTTTTTTTTTCAGGTGATTGATTCACATGAGTCTTTTATGCTTTCACATTTACTATTAGAATTTCATGTAGATGGAAAGCAATCTCGCATTTGAGACGATAAGTTTATTCTTTGTAATATTCACCAGAATCCCATATACCTATTATATTATTCTTTATACCTTTTTTTTTATGATCTCCATTACAAATAGGACAGGATGCTGAATTAATGAGATTAAAGCTATCACCATAATTCTCACTGTACTTCAAAGATAAATAAGGAAATTGCTCTAACACTAACCCAATTATATGTTTTTGCTTCTCTTCTAGATCATCAGGTAAAATAGAAATCAGAAGTCTGAATTTGTTAGATGATATTAGCTGACTAGAGAAAGATATAGATGGTACACTTACCTTAGCTTTAGACAAATTGACTGGACTGAATCCTGAAAAATCTTCTGAAGAATTAGAGATATGAGCTAATACAGTTGGAATACTTACCTCAGCTGACATTAATGTAGTTGTTGCATTTACTTCAGGAATGCTAGTCTTAGAATTTCCAGTCATATGATTTGGGATCTTTGCAATAGAAAGGGAGGAAACTCTAAAAAAAATTAAAATTTTACTTTCTAAGCTAATTATGATTTTTTTTGTAAAATAAGTCCAGATTTAACATTAACTCAAAAAAAAATTTTTTTAGAGTTTCCTCCCTTTCTATTGCAAAGATCCCATTTTGTTCCTGACCAGTAATCAGTATGTCACGTGTTTTTTTTCTACCTGATCTATAATATTTAAGATTTTAGAATCAGTTAATTCTGATATACTTCTTATACCATATAAAATTCTATAGCTTTGTTTATACTAATCCCTTTAACTTCTTTCTTAGTCATAGGATCAATAATTTTTTCAAATAGCTTATAAATGCTTTCAACTCTTTGGGTCTTCTTATATATATTTTATTCTGAAATATTAGATGAAAAAGCTTTAATCATGATATTAACTTGAGACTTTGCAATCTTCTCAGCTACACCAGTTTTAGAGTGAATTTCTGCAACCTTATTTTCGTATGATTCTCTATAAGTATATTAGCATACATTTTCTTTTTGTTTTGTTTTTATAATTTTGCCTTCTATTTTTTCAGTATCAAAAAACAATTGAGCCAAAACTTGACCTTTCCCATCAGTTACTACAAAATTGAACTTGAAAGTGTTAATTGATGAGACAAGTGCTTCTTTTTAAATAAATAAAATAACTTTCTGAATAATATCTTACTCAACTTTCTGATTGTATGATACTTTTTGAATAAAAGTTAAAGAAGAATTTTCTTGAGATGAACTGAGTAAAATATGATTGTTTTCTAGAGAGCTGAAGGAAGACAAAGATTTAGCATTTTGTGATCCAATCTGATCAGAGGTTATGGGAATCACAACTTCTGATGTAACTTTAGATAATTCATGCTAGTTGAAAGGTGTTGTATAAAGCTTCTTTTTTCTATTCCTCTGTCTTATATTATCACTAACACTTTTCTTGTTTACCTTATCTAAGAAAACATCTGTCTTTTTATCCTCTGATGACTTAGAGCTGGCAAGTATTGAGTTATTTATAGATAATCGCACTTTTGGTACTGCATCATTTATTTTACAAACAGATTCCTTGGAAAAGAAATCATTCTGTGGCGATCTGGGCTTCTGTTCTAATTTCACAACTCTAGCCTTAAGTTCAGCATTTTCAATTGAAGTATTTACACTATTTTTCTCCAATTCTTCGATTCTGACTGTTTGTTCAACATTTTCAGCATTATGCTTAGCATTTTTCTCAATAATATGTCTTAATTTTACGTTCTTAGTCGAGATCTCAGCAAGCTTCTTTCTAAGTTCAGAAATCTCGGCATTCCTAGTTTCAAGCTCATCTTTTTCTGCCTTAATCTTAACATACTTAGTTTCAAACTCAGTAAAGTATTGACTCAATAAATCTATTTCAGATTGCATGCCTACTAAATATAATACTATTTATACTCCGTATGTTAGTATTTAAAATTGAAAAATTTCCGTGACATCCTGACCAATGGTCAGCAACTTTTGCCAAGAAAAAGTATTGCATAATTACACGCAACTCGCTTTCTTATATATGTTTTTTTTCAGCCAAAGGCTTCAAATAATAATACTTTATTTATAAAATAAATGTCATCAGAAAGCAAACAATAATATATAAAAAATTGCTTTACATGATGTGAATAAAAAATACTAATTATTTTTTGGTGATATATTTCCCTAAATTTTCTTTTGCTTTTTAAACACCTATTATCAAAGGTAATGATTAAAGATGAGCATTATAATTAAGAAGTTGCAATTCATAAGTTGCAACTTGAGTTGCAACTCCTTGTAAATTTATTTTAATATAAAATTCATAAATAGTTGCAACTCAAAGTGTTGCAACTTAAGTTGCAACTAGTTAAAAATCTTAAAAATAATTATGGAAACCATCTTTACTAAAGATTATATATTTATAATAAGATTATTAGTTTCTATTATATTAGTTATATTTATTATATCTTTATTTTAATGTTTAAATTTTCTAAACCCAATAAAATAAAATAAATAAAATAAATAAATATAATAATAACGTATTTACATATAAATTATCAAAATTGATATTCTACCATTAACGTTAAATACAGTAGTAAATAATTAAATTAAAAAATTTGTATACATTACAATAAATTGCTAATAAATCATTTATTGTTACAAAGAAATGAAAAATGATTCACATAATGATCAAAAGATGATCATAAAATTAATTTATGTATCAACTGAAATTATTAATAAGGTTCAAAAAAGGAAATAAAGAAAGTCGAAGTATTATATTGTTAACCAACAATGCTCTCTGGAACGTTTACAACATTGATCGCCTCCCAAAAAGCTTCATCAAAAAAATTATCTTTGGAGATTACATCAGAATTTATTATTGTGGGGTTGGAACATTCTTCGTAGAATAATTCATTGACGCCTTAGGCGTATGGGAATTTCAATAGGTAGTTTATTATAATATACGCAGCATCATGCATCAATATAAATTGTACAATGAATAAAGCACGGGATTTACGGGAACAATCGTAAAAGTGTTAAAGTTTGTGTTCGTGTTAAAGTATATCTAATATAAATTAAGTAAAGTAAAAAAACTCCAAACCAACAAAAATGAGGGAATATAAAATACATCATATTGTTTATAAAAAAAAAATGGTGTAATTAAAGTATTTTGTTTTAGATGTATATTCTTTATAATACTAAGGATAAATAATATACTTTAATATTTTCTCTCTCAAAGAGATATTTTCAAGAAACTAGTTATAATTTTTTATTTTGTTTTTGAGTGATATTTTAAATATAAAAAAAGGTTTCTCACACTTTATTATCTTATTTGTTACAAGAAATAATACGTACTTTCTAGTAATGACAAACCAAAATCACGAAATAATGGTTGTGAATGACAATTGTGAAGTGGCAGCTGGAAACGGAAAGCAACATGTTCTGTTGACACCAACCTTGTCTCCTCAGCTGTCTAGTAATGAACCTAAGGAGCAAGACTCTGTCAGTGAAAATTGCGAAATAAATGATGATAAAAAATCGGTTATTACATCTCAATGTAGTATGTGGAAAATCAATGACACTTTGGAAATAAAAAATAAACGAAAATCTGAAATTCCTCATAACCTTGACTTACCTCCAACTCCTACTTTCGCACCTTCTTCCTATTGTGACAACAATTCCCCAACTTCCTCACCATGCTTTTCATCTTATTTTGATATTTATCAAACTACATTCGATACATCTATTTCCTGTTCCGAGGGTAATTTACCTATTGATTCGCCTGACACACCACCTTTATCTCCACCAGGATCGCCTTCAATTGTTGAATCATCTTGTTCACCAAAGTCTCCTGATTCCGTGCTTAATTCCCCATCACTTCCTTTACTTCCATTACTTAGTAATTTAGAACAACGTCACACGGCAAATCGTCTGCGAAGAGTTTCGTTCAATAAAACCGTAACATTTATACCTCATATCCCACCCCCATCAAACAAAATTCGAAAAAAGCTCACTAGAGAGGCAAGTTTAAGACAAAAAGATCTTATTGTCGAAGTTGAAGATTTGGGTAAAGTTAGGTTAGATGGTAAAAATGGTCGTGTTATAAAAATTGAACCTAATGTTTTTCCAGGACCGTTGAATGGAGAATATGGACAATGTGGTGTCATGTTGAAAGATGTTTCAATGGAAATTTCTTCACTGAATACTTCAAAAAATTGTGACAGTAATGAAGAAGATGATGATGTATTATACATTACGGCCGTACCTATTGTTGAAAAGGATAAAAAGTTACGCCTTGGAAAACATTTCAAGCGATATTATAATAAATTAGTTCAATAAAAGTTAGATTATTTATTATGACATAACTTTCATATAATTAATTATTAGATTATAATCTTGGTTAATTGGCATTAGCATTGCATTGGCATTTTTTTCTCTTTTTTTTGAATCAAAAAAAAAGAGAGAGACATTATTGACTAAAGGAAGGATAACCACCCATTTCTCGGAATTTTTTCACATTATTTTTATTATTATTATTTATTTTCTTTAAGGCGAGGATGTGCGCGATATCTACAAAATCCACTATTTTTTTTTTTTTTTTTTTTTGTACATATTTCCCCCCTCTCTGATTTCACTTTCTTTCCAATCCTTTGTATATTCGTTGTATAATAAGTTTCATTCTTTGGCTACCTCCAAACAAAAAAAAAAGTTGAATAAAAAATAAAAAAATAATTGTCTACTCCTTTGTATCTGCAAATATTTCTTAATCGATCCTAAATTTTTCTTCAATAGGAGCCAAACGACGTGTTCTTTTACTTTTCTTTTTCTTTATCCTTTCCGCATAAAACTCATGAGCTAAGGAATGTGTTTCTGGTGGAAAAGGTGAAGGAATCTCACTTCTTCCGGGTCTAGAAATTGGATCTCTTAAAAATACGACAGAACAATTATTAAAATTGACTTCTAGATATTCTGGTATAAATAAGAAAGGTTGCATATATGGTATTGGCTTGAATGTAAAGCCTTTTGGTGTAATTGTCTCGGAGAGGAAAGGTATAGCATGCGGATTAACACTGATAACATCACCATCTGTAGCTAGATATGATGGAGCAGAAATCTAATAAAACAAATAATAAATTTTTTTTTCGAAATTTTCTAATTGATCAATTAAATCATTTTAATTAAAAACTAATATAACTAAAATTAATTTCTAAATTACCTTTTTGCCGTTGACATTAACTTTTCCGTGAACGACCATTTGTCTAGCCGCCCAAATACTACTTGCAAAACAACTTCTAAATACAATAAAATCCAATCTCCTTTCCAGACTAGCATAAGTTAAAACAGAAACAGGAGGATGTTTCGCTTCCTCTTTGCCACCTAAACTCGTCGGTAATTTTGGTTCAAAGATTCTTCGAAATTGCCGTTCATTTAATTGAGCTCCATGATAAGCTCTTGTATCCTTTTTCGCTTGCCATTTTTGTTGAAATAAAGTACGATTTTGTAACCTTAGTGGATAATTGCCACGTTGATGAATAATGAATAAATTTTTTTTTGACCATGACATTCGAATTAAACCTCTTGAAAAACTATCTTTGGGTTTACGCATAATTTGATTATCGATAAAAAAAAATTTTTTTTGTGCTATAAATTCGATTTTACCACAGACACGTGACTTTTGCTCATAAAATTTTGGGCGGAATGATTAAAAAATAAAATTATAATATATAATTGATAAAATTATACATTATTAGTATTATTAAAAATAATTTGATATTTTTGTAACGTTTATAAAATTATTATATTATTATATTCATAATATTCAATCAAAAAATAAAAAAATTATAATAAACATATTTTTTAATAAAAATGACTTCTAAGATCTGACTTATTAATAAATAATCTTCCACCTGTAGCAGGATCCGGCCCTAGAACATAAGAGCCAAAAACACTCGTACTTACAATCAATTGAATAAAATGGTTATCGAAACCTAGAAATAAAACCAATAAAAACCTTGGATCAAAATATGAAGAATGGCTCGATTTAATGGAGCCTGATGATGATTATGATGAATATGATAAGCAGGTGAAGACTCAGATATTCACTTCGAAAAATCAAAGATCCATATATTAATAGAGAATCAGAAGTTGAAGAATATGAGGTATGCGACTACCACACAGTAGTGCCATAAGGATATTTTGCTGAAGGTGAACCATTAGCCTTCTTTGAATCGAGTTATCTATAAAAGGAGATTAAAAGGTAAGAATCGTGTGTTACATAAATACAGTACATATATATGAAAAAATATTACAGAATTTAGTCTGGGAGGTTATGAAGACATTTTCCATTCAAACATGAAATAATAGAATGTATTAGAGAGGAGCGAATCAAAGTATGTATAGAAAGAGTATATAACGAAATTATGGATGTAGCAATACAAGAATCAAGATGGTCATTTGTCCGAGCAGAAGTGGTATTTCTTGAAATAAATGTATTCAGACCATTGCAATGTAGTAGCTATTACCTTCTAAACCGCAACTCGGATTAATTAATCCACAAAATTACAATGGCAACGAATGTTTTAAGTGCAGGGAAGAAGCAATAAAATCTAATCGAAAGCCATAGCCAACTTTTATCGAAATGAGCATTTGTGAAGTGATCATTGGTTTTGATCAATTCATTCACTTAACTTCATGATTATTGCAAAATAATAATCGTTTGAAAACAATCGAAATTTCATATGAAATAATCACATAATCAATTTTTTTTTTTTGTTTATACTGTATGTCACATAATCCCTCTTATCACATCACCCGCTATAATTTATAAAAGTTACACACTCATAAAGGAAGACTAGACTACATGGTGAATCCGTCTACCTATCCGAAGACATGGTGAAAGAGTCTACCTATAACCATCGCCCCCCTCCACAAGAGGGAGTCTAAACACCCACAAAAGTGAATGCAAACTGAGGAATTGGCAAATGAATTCTATCCTTATTTATATTAAAAGTGAAAAAATGTGAAATTATGGGATTCAAAGATCTTCATAATATACACTAATTATGGAAATATATGGTTGATCTATGATCCGTAACGTGATTTTAATAATTTTTGATAACCGAATACTAATACTAAAATATAATAAGGTTAACTTATCTCAATATTAAAAATATAAAATTAATATTATTTTAAATAAATTTTTTAAAAAATTAAAGTTATAATAATTTATAATTATTTTATAGCAATATTTTCTGAAACTAAAAATTTTTAAATTTTTTTCAAGTTATTTAAAAGATTCATATATTATAATATTATTTGTTATAAAATTTTTAAAAACTAATTTGCTTTCAACATTAATAGCATTATTAAGAATAATTTCTGAATGGATTTATATAGTTTTTTTAAGAATTTTATCATTAATTTTTGTATTTTTGATTAGATTTAGCTATTTTTAACAAATCTAATGAAAAAAATATATATGTAATAGTAAACATTTAGAAATAATCATTCAAATATTTCTATTTATTCAGATTTCACTTTATAATATATATAGTTATCAAGTAGATTTAAGATTTAAATAATATTTTTGATATATTACTTATATTATTTGTATATAATATTTTAAAGAAAAATTATTTAGATTAATTATATTAAATATTGATAATAATGGTTTTGATTGAATATTTATTAATGATACCTGACGAAATTACCTTTCTTAATATGACGAAATTAATAAAACTGAAATGACGAAACTAGTTTTTTATTAATGACAAAATTATTTTACTTAATTGGTGAAATTATATTTAACTTGATCTAAATTTCTTGAATTAAAATACATTAAAAAATATAATAATTTTATATTTATTCATATAAAAATATTAAAAGATGAAACTTTTGACGAAATTACAATTTTTCAAAAAATCAGATATCACTAATATTTACTTTAATTTCACTTTTAATAATTTATTAACATTTATTTGAATTTTTAAATAATAATTTATTGCAATTTGAGTTTGTTTTAAATTATATTTTTCGGTCTATAAAATTAATTTTTAAAAATATTTTGCACATCATATTAGATATTTATAAACTTTTGTTTTATATTTTTCTCTTGATCTAAATTTCTAAGACAATCTTAATAATCTATTCACTTTTTTTTAACATCAAAAAATATTAATCAAACTTATGATTTTATGATTTTCTTGTATTAATTAATAAAATATAAAAAATCATATTAAAAATTATAATACAATTTAAAATCTAAATGGTTAATTAATTAGAATAAATCCAATTGCATATTTATTATTTATTTAACATATATTTATAAGACTATTAGACTAATAATAAAATTTGTTTATATTTAATTATTTAATTTACATTATATATATATACTATATCTGAAAAAAATATATTTAAAAATGTAGGAATAGTAGAAAGAATTAGTAAATAACTTTTAATATCTTTATAAATGACATTATATAAGCATTTTAGCATCAAGTTAAAGAAATAAATAAGTTAAAATTTAAGAAAAATAGAATTTGTAGTTTATAACTATATTATAGTTATATAGAAATTATTATATTCTGAAATTTTAAACTGCTTATCTAAGAAAAAATTAAAATTAAAAATCTACTGTTATCATATTATTTATTTTTTTAAAAAAATAAGCTAAACTTCTAAATGATATAGTTATCATAACTCTTGTTATACAAATTTTGACATTTTTGAATTCAATAGCTTTAATATAATTAATACCTTCTTGACTATTTCTATTACTTATTATCAAGAAAAGTTGTGTTACAAATTAATTTTTAATTATTAAGAATTCATTTGTTATATTTCAAGCAATGATTTATTTTATAATTACTTTCTAGTATTATTATTATCTAAATATTCTTTTGTTATTATATTATGTTTCTTTCTTCTTATAATATTCTTTTTTATAATACTATTATTCTTTTATAATTCTTCTTGTATTATTATTACTTCTTTTTGTATTATGTCATTGTTTCTTCTTGTATTTTTTTTTATATTAATATTATTCTTTTGCAATATTTTATTATTTTTATTTTCATAATTTTAATAATATAATTTTTTATTTTATTTTGTCATTATTTCCTTAATGTTTACCTAATTTAATATTTATAAATAAGCAAAATAAATTTTATAATTTTATTATTTAATAACTTGTCATTTCAAATAAAAATCTTTTATTTATTTGTATTTTAAAGTTTATTTATTAAAATTATTATTATTTTTTTTATTTTTAAAGAAGATAAAAATTAATCTTTTAATACAAATTGTCTTATATTTAAATAATTTTAAAAATGATCTATAAA